CCCACCCCCTGCAGGGCTCCCTGGGCACCAATTCCCACTGTGAGGGTGCTGCTGCTGGGGTCCCTGTGCCCAAGCCCCCCGGCCGTGGCAGCTGCAGCATCTGCAGCATCCGCAGGCCCCTTCGCAGCCGGTAATTGATGTGTGCTGCCATGGAAACCAGAGGGCTCCAGCCCGGCTGGATGCGAGCTCAGGGCTCTGCCGGAGGAGTGGAAGGCTTCGTGTGCCGATGTGGGGTGAGGGGAGAGCACAGGAACCGGGAAGAGAGGCAAGGAGGGAACGAGGAGGGCAGGGAGTGGGTGGGACGGGTGGCACAGGGCCAGCAGAGGGGGGAAGGAGGCACAGATGGCGTCAGGGAGGGGTCTGGATATCCTGGGATGGCTGAGGAGGAGGAGGAGGGAGTGTGAGGGCATGGAATGTTCAGGACAGACAGGGAGGGCCTGGGACTGTCTCTGCTCAGGAAAACTCCCTTTGGTCACCTGTCCTGGGGGCAGCTTTGCCCTCTGTGCCAGCTGTGCCAGCCTGGCACCACCCTCAGCATCCAGACCCCCTTTCCTTGGGATGGCAGCAAGGGGGGCTGCCCAGGGTCCCTGGGGACACAACCCTGCTCCCAGCTGGCCTGGGTCTGCCCTGAGGAGCAGCTGAGAGCCCCCCAGGCCTGAGCACAAGGGGAAACCCCTCAGGAATGGGGGCATTGGATCCCCTCTGACAGCCCTGCAGAGCCCTGGAGAGGGGATGGCTCAAAAGGAGTCTCTGCAAAGGGGAGGGGAGGCCAAACTTCATCTCCACGTGGGAACTCCTCCTTCCTGGAGTCTTCCCAGCTGGGAAGGAGCCTTTGTCTGGTGGTCCAACCACAGCGAGCCCAGAGCTGAGCAGGGACAGGTGCAAGGCTGTGTGTGAGCTCAGCAAAGCCCAGATGTGCTACACCTGTACGGAACCCCCCAGAGAGGGGAGCAGCCCTACCCCAAGCCAGGAAACCACCCAGGATCATCAGGATCCTGTGCACAGGCAGGCAGGGAAACCCCACAGCCAGGGCTGGAGGAGCTCCCTGCAGCTGGGGTGGGAACAGCCATAAATGTGCCTGGTTTGGAGCGGCCCAGATGTTTCCAAAGGGTCTGAAATACCCCAAAAGCCCCATTAGTGCCTGGGAAAGGAGCTGGTGAAATGGTGGGAAACAGAGAAAATCTCCAAAGAGCGGTGGTGGAGATGGGAGGGGATCCAGAGAGATGGATGGGATTTTCCCAGATTCCTGCCTTGGCTGGTGACAAGTGCAGGCAGCCTTGGGGCTGGAGGTGTTTTTTTCATTGAAATATTGGGGTTTCAGTTATAGAATCAATCATAGAATCACGGAATGGCTTGGGTTGGAAGGGGCCTGAAAGCTCCTCCAGCTCCAACCCCCTGCCATGGGCAGGGACACCTTCCACTGGAGCAGGATGATCCAAACCCCGTCCAACCTGGCCTTGCAGGAGTCTGGTCTGTGGGAGAGTCCTCTGGGGGCTCACCCTCCTTGTCCTTGTGCAGGAAGAGCCTGGCAAACAGGGAGCCAAGAGCAGGGCAGGGAGGCAGGTGGATCCCAAAGCCTCCCCAGCTCTTTCTTCCCCTGAGGGTGCTCAGGGGGAGGCGTGGGAAGGAACAGGAAGGCCCAGAAGCAGCCGGGTTTTCACACTTTTATTGTAAAGCTTTAGGAAGGGCTAATTACAATGGAGTTGGTCATCTTGACAGCTCAGCAAACGAACGGAACAGGGGAGAACGGAAAGGGGCATCACGACGGTGTCATGCTCACGGCTCCGAACAGAAAGAGTTACAAGGGAATCAATTGTGCTCACAGCGCCCGGGGAAAACCAAGCCCAAGGCCCAAAGGCTTCCCCGCACAGGGAAATGCATCACACATTGAGCAGTACAACCTTAGCAAGAGGCGTCGCCTTAGACATAGGGCACCATCTGAAAAATAGTGGGGGGACTTTACTCTGCCATAGGATTTCTCCTTTTAGAAAAGCTACACCTGCATGTACATAAAACTGTACAAAAAACAAGGCATCACAAGCAAGGAAATGAAATCTCGTATAAATAGAACCAACACTGAAGAGCTACAAAGGGGTCGCTTAGATCCTTCCCACGCAGCCTGCCGGCTCCCTGGCTCCCACCTTTGGTTTTCCCCCTGGCTTGTCCTAGTGCAGTGTGAGATACAGTGAACCCTCCTCCTCCCTGTGCTTGTCTGGACTGGAGCCCGTGGGGAGCTGTCCTCCCCCCACGCGCACAGAGGCTTTATCCTTCTGGCTTATAATTGTGCAAATGAGCTTCTTCCCACAGCACCTCCTCCTTGCCCTCCCCCTGGACTGATCCCCAGCGACACTGGCAGCTTCCCCCCGGGACAAATCCCCTCAAACCCCTCTCCCAGGACTGATGGCTGGCACCCTCTCCTCCCCAGGGACCCATCCCCCTGCACCCCTGGTACCCCACTGAGGCCCCGGTCCCATTGCCCTGCTCTGGCCTTCCCCACACACCCACCAGTGCCCGAGACCCCCAACCCCTGTGTGCCCCCAGACACCCAACCCTGGCCCCACCGTGCTCCCCTTCAAACCCCCACAGCCCTCTGTGCACGCCCACAGGACTCAGCCACCCCCAAACCCATCCCCACCCCCATCCCTCGGGGACCCCTCTGCACTCCCCCCTCCCTCCACACCGTGCTCGCACTGAGGACCTCGCCAGGTGCTCCAGGAGACAGCACAGCAATTCCATCCACAGGAATTCCAGCCTCGGGATCCCTCTGGAGACCCCAGCACAAGGTAGGGAACCCCCCGCCAGGATGAGGTGGTCTTGGACAAGCCCCCCTGGGATGTGGCTCTCTGGGGGTCCCCAAGAGGGGCACTGGACACTGCCACTGCCTGGGCCCAGGGGAGGCGTGAGCAGCCGAGTTGGCAGTGGAGTCAAAGATCGTGGCCAGCGCGGCCAAATTGCACATTCTGCCCAGGTTGGCCCTGAAACTACAGAGCTACAATAAAAACAAGGTCAGGAGCGGCACCTGCTCAGGCAGCCACACCGGGGGAACGCGGCCCCGCAGGGCAGAGCAGGAATCCTGGCCGGGCAGGCGGCCGGACCCCCACCAGGAGCATCCCCCGGCTCCAGGGCCACCGGCCGGACGGGAGCAGCAGCGGGAGGCCGGGAGGAGGGTCCTGCCCCCTCCGGCTGGCACCGCCGGCTGCCGGGGCCGCGGGAATGCGGGGTGGCAGCGGTGCCACCCGGGGAAGGCAGGGCTGGGGCACGAGGGGCACGAGGGGCATGAGGCAGCGGGTGCGAGCAGGCGCCTTCTGCCGCCCTTCCTTTGTCCCCCGGGCTCGGCTGGCACCGGGTCCCCTCGGGGAGCTGCGTCTGCCACCGCCCCATCGAGGGGAGAGGAGCTGCTCAGAGCGGGGTGCTGGGGGGAGAGGCTGGGCAGGGGGTCCCGACAGGCACTACAGCTATGGCAGGGCAGGCCCTGCCCCGGCCCTGCGGGGTCCCTGTGCCCCGGAGCCCGGCGGAGCCCCGCGCCAGCCCCGCGGGCACGGACCGGGCGCTCCGAGGATGCGGCGCCACAGGAGACCCGTCCTGCCGGCCTCGCTCCCTAAGGAAGGTGCCAGAGCTGGAGACGGGAAGCACAAGGGTGCAGCACGGCCCCTCCCGCGGCCCAGACGGGGAAGGGCTACCCAGGAATGAGGCGAGAGTCGCCCGGACCCCTCCGGCCAGGGGTGCACCCCAAAACCAGGACTGTGCCCCGGCTGCCGAGGGAGCAGCGACAGAGCCAGGGGTCCCCCTCAGGAAGCCCTGTAGGGGCAGGGGTTCCTCTCCCCCCGCCCCAGGTGGGGACCATGCACGGGAGCTGAGGATGCCGGGGCAGCAGGGACCTGCCAGGGAGACCGGTGGACCTTTGACAATGGAAGAGAAAGCTGGACCCCGTGAGAGTGGCCCTGTGGCCTAAGGGCAGCGGAGTCCAGCGGGCAGGGGCTCGGCGGCCCCCAGTGTGACCCTGAGACAAAGCTCCTCCTCACAAAGGCAATGGTGGCTTTACAGGCGGATGGGACGGAGGTCGAGGGCACGGCACAGCCTGGCCTCGTGGGCATCCCCTGCCCCGGAGGAGGCCCAAGGCGATGGGCTGAGAGCCGGAGCCGCTGGCGACCTCCCTGCCAGCAGAGGCGGACTGAGGGCTTCTCCGGACCCAGCCGGTCCCTTCCTGGGGACATCCCCTCCCCGGACCCAGCCGGTCCCTTGACTGGGGGCTTCCCCACCCCTCCTCCACCCGCCAGGCCCAGGGCCACCACCGGGGACTCCCCCCACCCCCAAAGCAGCCCCCACCTATGGCACCGGGCAGTCCCTAGGGACCCTGCAGCTTGTGGGCACAGTGACAACGTTCAGAAAGAGATCCAGGCTGAAAAACAGCAAAGTCCCTACAGTCCGGCCAGGATGCTGCCCCTCTCCTCCAGCTCCCCAGCTGCTGTTTCAGGGACTGATCACATCTCTATTTACAATATAGAACATGAGTGCGGGCCGGACGCTGCGCTCCCAGGGGCTCTTCCACGCAGGAAACCATTCAAAGCTGGAACTTGCTCCCTGTGGTTTGTTATTTTTTTCTCTTTTTTTTTTTTTTTGTTTAGTTTTTTCCTCTTTTTTTTGTCTGCATTTTTTTCCCCTCATTTTGTTTTGTTTTGTTTTCTCTTTAAACGTCTTTCTTTTTTGTTTGTTTCAAGGACAATAAAAAGTTGCGATCAGGCAGGACTTGAATGTCATTCCTATAAGATTCGTATTTACAGGAGTCTACAGCAAAGAGACAGGCAGCTGGCTCCCCGTGCTGGGGGACACTCCTCATCCTATGCCCCAGGAACTCCACCAGCTCTGCGTGGACCTTTGGTACGTAAGCCCTTCTCTCCCTTCTCCGTGCCCTCCGCACCAGGAGCCTGCCCAGCCCTCCCCGGCAGCAGTTCGGGATGCTCGGCAATCGGGGTTGGGATGCTTTTCACCCTCCCCACCCACCCCCAGCCCCGGGCAACACGGGGTTAAAAAGGCGCTCCTCTCATCCCTGCCTCGCCCTGCCCTGCTCCCCGCAGAGCCCCCAGCCTTGGCGAAGGGCCGGAGCCATAAAGCATCAAAGTGGAAAATGTTCCTCTGGCCTCAGCTCCCTGCCCCTCACGCCCAGCCTCACAGGTAGATCTCTCTCTTGGTGGTCTGGGCCGAGGGGGTGGTGGCTGGCTGGAAGTCCGAGGTCTGGGTGAGAGGAATTTCCTCCATGGGAGAGTCCTTGCAGGGCTCATGGCTACTATTGGAGAAGGCACTGTACGTGGGGAGCAGGCGGAGGTTGGCCATTTTGGTGCTGCGCTCTTCTGACAGTCTGGGGCTGCCGTTCCCGACTTGCTCTTGACTCCCTCTGTCTTGGTAAGGCACAAAAGTGGAGAGTTTGAGGGCGTTCTTGGGCCTGCGGCTGGGGGAGGACTGGCCAGGCATCCAGCAGGTGTCGGAGTGGCCGAACTCTGTGCACTCCCGGGTGCAGGTCCCAGTCATGGCTACATCGGGCAGAGGCCGGAGATCTGCGAGGAACAAGGGACAGCGGCATTACCCCCGGGAACTCCAGCTTGGGAACCCTGCCTCGGGAACCCCAGCTCAGGAACCCCACCTTGGGAACCCTTCCTCAGGAACCCTGCCTCGGGAACCCTGCCTCGGGAACCCCTTCTCGGGATGTGGGGATGAACAGCAGGGACTGGACATCTCCATCCTACCCATGCTGGGAGGGACAGCCGGACTCACGGACACCCTGGGAGCCGGACCTACATGAACACTTCAGGAGCTGGACCCATGGACACCCCAGGAGCTGGACCTACGGACACCACAGGAGCTGGACCGACAGACAAAAAAATGGGAGCAAAGCAGAGGTGGGAGGGAAACCCAAAGCCACAGAGAAACAGGAGGCAGAGCACAGGACAGAGCTCCCCCAGCCCCTCTGGACACCAGGATTGCACAGGCAGGCTCCACAGCTTGGATTTGCACCACAGGACACACGCTGCCACACCAGGCTTGATCCCAGAAGATGAGGCACCACCTGGAACCTGCTAAACTCCAGGAATTCCCATTGGGCACTGTGGCATCCCATGGCATCACTGTGCAGAGACAGAACTGCCCTGGACTCAGCCCCGAGGCACAGCTGTGTGTCCTGGGCAGCATTCTCGGGCATCCCTGCCCTGCTCCCACTGCATATTCCAGGCCCAAATTCCACATTCCAGCCCCCCCTGGCACCCTCAGCAGGAGCCACAAGCCCAGCCAGAAGTCCTGGTCCCCTGTGGAGCTGAAATTCCCAAGCACATGGAGGCAAAGCCCACCCCGAGAGAGGCCAGAGATGCCGTGGGGTGCCCTGTGCACCAAACCCCTACCCCCGAGGGAGCCCAGCACCCCAGGACACCACAGCTCCCTGCTCCTGGCACAGCCGGGACACTGAGCACCAGTTAGACCAATTCACATGCTGGTGTCCTCACACACCAGCCACTCCCTGCCCCAGGTGTCCCTGAGCCTTGGCCAGGTGTCCTTGGCACAGGCAGCGCCTGTCACGAGGCTTCTGAGGCCAGAATTTGGCACTTCCATGCAGAGCTGAGTGTCCCTCCCAGAGTCATCCCAGCCACGAGCCATTCCTTGATTTCTGCCTCAATTTGGGACACCACAGAGTGCCCCAGGACACGTCACTGCTGCTGCCACAAGCAGATCCAGCCTGGTGCTGATGTTGGGGTGGAAGCAGGGGCCGCTCATGACCTTGAGGCTGCTCGGACTTCCAGATGGTTCCCAAAAATCCTCTCCATGTCTCCACCACCGTGGACTCTCCACCCCATCCACTGACAGACTGATGGAGGGAGACACTAAGGAGCTCTGGGGACCTGAGACCTGTGGGGCACCCCCTTCCCACAGGACACACACTGGTCCACACAATTCCCTCACACCAAAAGCAGGGCAGACCCAGAGGCACTCCCTGAGCCCTGGAAAGAAGCAAACCAGAGCACCATGGTGGGGTTTCTGCCCTGGCCAATGCTTCCTCCTGCCACCAGTTTGGGACTGCCACACACCCGAGTCACCCTGGCACAGCTTTCACACACAGGATGCAGGAGAAGGCTCCAGACAATGCTGGGAATGCTTGACACCGGCATGGACGAAGGGGTGAAGTCAGCAACCAACCATTGTGTGAGCACATCTAGCCCTAAACCAGCCCCCAGTGACGCTCCCCAAACCCTCAGCGGGCGGCTGAGGCAGCCCAGCTCCCCCCTGGGGCCTGTGCCCACATTCCATCCCTGGCACCCACGGGAGCTCCCCCTGGCAGCTGGGATATCCTGGCGGGAGCCACACAGACATACCTGATGGCAGCCCCCCTTCACAGCCTGCTCCGCTCAGGGGACTCTGATGAGGGGCAGAAAAAGGACGACAGCGTCACATCAGTGCACAGCCCTGGCTCCACACCCCCTTCAGCCTCTGCCACCCCTGTCCCCCTGGTCCCCGCTGCCTCCTTGGCCTCTCCTGGCCCTGCTCCAGCCTCCTGGAGGCCGCTTGGCCACTGCTGCTCCTCCCTCACTCCTTGCTCCAGCTTTATCCTGATCCTCCCTGGAGCCCAGCGGCCCTGGCGGGACTCCCACGGGATGCTGGGAGCCACCTGGGTGGTGACACACGGAGGGGTTGGGGCTGTGCACACACACAGGGATACACATGGATACATACACAGATACACATGGACACACATAGGGATACACACACATAGATACACACAGAGGGATACACACACATAGATACACACAGAGGGATACACACACATAGATACACACAGAGGGATACACACACATAGATACACACAGAGGGATACACACACATAGATACACACAGAGGGATACACACACATAGATACACACAGAGGGATACACACACATAGATACACACAGAGGGATACACACACATAGATACACACAGAGGGATACACACACATAGATACACACAGAGGGATACACACACATAGATACACACAGAGGGATACACACACATGGATACACACACATAGATACACACAGAGGGATACACACACAGGGATACACATGGATACATACACAGATACACATGGACACACACACACAGATACACACTCAGGGATACACACACATGGGCACACACATGGACACACACATGGATACACACATGGATACACACACATGGACACACATAGGGATACACACACATGGAACACACATGGATACACACACAGGGATACACACATGGATACACACACATGGACACACACACAGGGATACACACACCCATGGATACACATACCCATGGATACACACAGGGATACACACAGGGATACACATGGATACATACACAGATACACACCCATGGATACACACACATGGATACACACATAGGGATACACACACATGGAACACACATGGATACACACACAGGGATACACACATGGATACACACATGGATACACACACAGGGATACACACATGGATACACACACATGGACACACACAGGGATACACACACATGGACACACACATGGATAAACACACAGGTATACACACAGGGATACACACCCATGGATACACACACATGGATACACACATGGACACACACCCATGGATACACACCCATGGATACACACACGGATACGCACACATGGGCACACACATGGACACACACCCATGGATACACACCCATGGATACAAACACGGATACACACCCATGGATGCACACAGGGATACACATGTGGATACACACACATGGATCCACACCCATGGATACACACCCATGGATACACACAGGGATACACATGTGGATACACACACATGGATCCACACTCGGATACATCCCAGCAGGATGCTCCGCCCTGCTCGCGGCGCGGGGGACAGCCATGCTCACACTGCGGGGACAAAAAGCAGCAGCACAAAGCAGCCCAGGGGACACGGCGGTGGCATGGGCAGCACGAGAGCACAGCTTGGCAGGGCACATCCTTGGCCATGCACCAGTGGCCTATTTCCTGGGGAGTTGCCTTGATTCTCTCTCCCACGTGAGAAACAGAACCAGGGGCACAACGGCTCCGTTTTCATCCCTACTCTGGGCAAGCAGCAGCAGAGAACGGAATCTGAATCCAAGAGGATTAATCAGGTTTTCCTCTCAGGACCACAGGATGCTCCAGTGGCCACGCAATGGCTTGGACACTTTGATGTCATGTTCTGTGGTCTTTTCCTTGTGTCCATGAGAAATTATCACCATCCTTTCCTCACCAACTTTCCTCCTGGATGTCCTTCCTCTTGCAGAAAGGCCCTGGTGCTCTGTGCTCCCAGGGCAGTGGATGGGAGCCATCCCCTCTTCCTGGGGCAGAAGGAGCTTTGCTGAGCCCACAGAGGGGACTGGCAGGACTGAAATAAAATCCACCTCTGCAGGGAACAAAGCTACGGAGATTTCCTCGTGCCAGCAGCAGCTTGGGAATGGCAGGATCAAGCAGGAACGCTGTGTTCAGGGTCTTTTATTCTGCTCTACCCATTGTCTGCTCCTGGCACTAAAGCCTTTTTCCAGTGTTGTCCCCTTGCTTGCAGAGCCACTGAGGAGCGGATTCTGTGCCATGAGCCCGGAACAGGGCAGGGTGGAATTCCTGAATAGCTGGGACTGAGGGAAAACACGACCCCATGGCCTAATTCCCAGCACATGCTAGTGGCTCAGGGACTCCGATGTGCCACCAGACAAGCACAATTCCCTCCTTGGTGGGAATTTTGCCCACGGATTTTCCCCAGTTTTGTGGGGTGGTGAGGAGGCAGGCCCACACCTCGGGGTACACAAAGGGTACTCGGGATTTCCGATACTCCTCCACCCAAAACACACTTTTGTGCCTCTGAAGCCCTGGAATGTGACAACATTCCCAGGGATGAAGAGGATGGCCATGCCCTCTCTGGTATCAGGGTGTTCTGGTCACACCAAATAAAGCTTTGTGCAGCTGCCGTGTTTTCCTGAGCTTTGACCCATCCTGGTTACTCCAAGCCACCAGACTGTGCTTCCCAGGCAGGGAAGTGGTTGTTTGGACATTCACAGTCCTCACATCCTCCTGGCTCCCCACTTCCTGCAGCTTTGCCTCTCTCTGGCATCCCCTGGTCGGCTGCCTCAGGGTGCTCTCATCCTCAGGGATGAACCCAGGGCAGGAAAATCCGGATCCCTTTGGTTTCTTGGGGAGAAAGGTTGGAGTTTTACACCGGGATGCCCTCAGAGATGCCAGGTTGGCTCCTCTGGGAAGAGGCACAAATTGGTGTTGCTGTTAATTGTTCCTGTCTCACTCTCTCCTCACCCAGGGCACGAGCTCATCCGGTCACAGGGCTCCTCCAAAACCTTACTGGGGGATTCCAGCACAGCTCTGGGGCACTTTGGGAACAAGACAAAAGCAGCAGCCTCAGCCAGCAGCACTTCCATCTCCTGCAGGAGATGGGCAGAGGTTCCCTCACCCTCTGCCAGCCTGGGAGCTCCAAGCAGAGGCTGAGCCAGCCCCGAGCATGTTTTTTATGCCAGCTGGTTT